ACACAGTACTGCACCGTCACAACATGTTCAAACACTAGGTATCTTATGTCGCTATATGAATTCCAAACACTTTGAACTCTTGCTAATGATTAATATAGGTAAGTACTACTTGGGAATGTTATGAGCCATGCTGATCAAAGTCGTTGCTTATTGTTCGCAGGAAGTGAGTATGTCAAGATTTTCGAGCTCGAACCATTCTGATCCAAATCGTTGGCGGACCAGGCCACCGTTCCTCGTTCGAACAAGAGCCGTGCTGATCCAAGACGTTGGCCACCGTTCGCAGGTCGTGAGTGTGTCGATCCTCGTTCGAGCAACAGCCATGCTGATACAAGTCGTTGCCCACCGTTCGCAGTTCGTGAGTCTGTCGGTCTTCGTTCGAGCTCAAGCTATGCCGCAAGTTACCGTGTTCATCCTCGAGGGTCTCAGGTGGAGACCTGTCAGGGGTAGCTGATGGGATTAGTGTCACAGTGGCTGCTATTGGAGGTACGTCTTATTTCAGTTGTGATGATGCGATAATGGACGACCACCTTTCACTACAGGCTTTGCGCATCGCGCGACGATGCAGGTCGTGTGCGCGGTGATCACTGATCTCAAGTTTTTCACTTTTGGTTTTGGCCGCCGGTGAGTGGTATCGTTCATCTTTCCACCTTTTCTCATGCCTTACTTGAAAATACTAGAGTGTGTCCTGGTCAACATGTCGCGAATCGGTCCATCTTCATCAATACGGCTGTTATTCTCTGGGCTTTCCGCCTTTCAGAGAATCCTGCAGCGAAGATTGACACGCTTGCAATCTCGAATACTGCAACCGTACATGCTGCTGCGTTTGAGATATGTTTAGAGAAGAGGATCGATGAGAATGTGATCAGGGAACTATGTGCACCGGGCAAATAAAATGTGTTTATTTTAGAAACTTGAATTCAATCTTTGTACAAAGAAGTTCTCCTTGCGTTAGAGTCTTTTCGTTGTCTGTCCGACTCGAATTACATGACAACTCATGGTCTCGAGCCTATACAACCACAGATGGTCCAAGCTTAGTCGAACCTGGTTCGAACGCGAACCGGACCCTCCCGAACGCGTTCGGTGACGTTCGGTCCAGGGTTCGACCAAATGGCTGAACCGAACCTATGGTTCGGTTCGGCGTTCAGAAAATTTGCCCCAAGAACCGAACCGAACCGAACCGGACTTCGGCAGCACTAATACTCATCCCACTACTCCTCCGCTGACACCTATCGCTACCACTGCCACTCGACCATTCGCACAACTATCCATTGATCTTATCACTGATCTCCCAGTATCCTCTGGCTTCGACAGTATCATGGTCATGGTAGACCATGGACTTAGTAAGGGGGTGATTATTACTCCTTGTCATAAAACAATCTTGTCTGAAGGAGTAGTGAAGCTCTTTTTGAAACATGTTTTCAAACGCTTCGGACTCCATGATAAGGTGATCTCCGATAGAGGACCCCAATTCCTCTCCAAATTCTCGCTAGAATTGGCATGACTTCTTAATTATACTATCGCTCCCTCCACTGCATATCATCCACAAACCAACAGACAAACAGAACGGCTGAATCAAGAATTAGAAACCTATCTCTGGATATATTGCCAGAACAACCTGTTGGAATGGGTAGAACATCTTCCTATCGCTGAATTTGTTCACAATCACCGTAAACACACTACAAAGGATGCCTCTCCCTTCTTCATCATGATGGGATACGAGCCAAAAGCTCTCTCACACATCCTCCCCGAATCAAAAGTACCTGCAGCAGAAGAACGAGTAAAGCATCTTCAGAAGATAAGAGAAGAAGCAGTGGCTTGCCATAATATTGCTATGCAACGAATGACAGAAAGATCCTTCAGACAGAAGTATCAACCATGGAAAGTTGGAGATAAGGTATGGCTATCCTCTGCCAATCTTAGACTGAAACTTCCATCATGGAAACTTGCTCCGAAACGATACAGGCCATTTGTCACCTCTGCAGTACTATCCCCTATCACTTTCACACTCCAATTACCTCCACAATGGAAGATCCATCCCACGTTCCATGCTTCTCAGTTATCGTCCTATAGAGAAAACGACGTACACGGCCCAAATTTCCTAGAACCACCGCCTGATGTTCTAGAAGAAGAAGAAGAATAATAATAATAATATGAAATTGAAGCCATCCTCGCACATAAAGGAAATGGGAAGCAATGCCATTATCTAGTATCTTGGAAAGGATATTCTTCCGCCAGCAACGAGTGGATACCCGAAGAAAATCTGGGAAATGCCGCAGAGACCCTTAACACCTATAAAACCAGAAACTTGCTTTGAAATCAGGAATTATATCGACGACATACTCTTCACTCAGATCCAAAACCTTCAGCAAGAATGCCATTCTTCACCTCCTTCACACTTCCCTACAAATCCACCTTCTCGAACGCCACATACTCCAGTGATGAAGACTGATATGAAGCTTTCATCTCCCATGCCGAAGACCTCACCCTCATTGAGGCAGCCATACTCTGCCCCCAACATGCCATTGAACTTAACAGAATCCTCTTTGCAAGAAACACTTACTCCATCAACCTCCTCATCAATATTGTCAGAGCCACTGACCTCATTGAGAGGCTTACACGCCTTGTTGAGGACAAATCAGTCCGACACAGTCTTATGCATCTTCAGAGGCGCATACGCAACTTTACTTTGTGTCTTATTCCTGATGAGGTTAAAGACAATATTAGGATTGTCACCCACATTGTCGCAGAACGATCGGCAGGCATTGCTCGCCCGCCTTCTCCATCCCCTGTCAATAGAACAACTGACAACCCGCCCCCATCTTACCAAGACGCAGTACCTGTACCTCCTCCTCATATTCCTAACGAACTGTTGGCTGCTGTCAATAGTCTCACGCAGGCCATGGTGGCCATGATAGCAAGTTTAAATGAGGAAAGTCAATCTTCCCCAGCAGCACACCAATCCACACCACCGACTAGTACCTCCGCCAAAGTTACACCTCCACCTGATGTCTCTGTCAACACTCAGGAACACCCCGTAAACCTTTATAAAGCATTCTCCGCTACTCATGAAGAAATAGAGGCAAATCCTAACAAACAGTACCTTTCACACCAAGAAATCCTAGACCTCTCTGTCACACTTGAAGCGCTTCACATTCATCCTCCTATGACTATCCCCAAGTCGTTATCTACGCATACATTTAAAGATGGAATTGTTCCTATAGAAACACTTGGAGCGACTACTGCTGCCACTCCCGCTGAGCTAATCATGGAGGCAGAACAAGCCGCTGCACTCCCCATCGAACGAATGCAACCTATTGCTAGATAGAGGATGCATGGACAATCCTATAAAGGAAAAGGAAAGAAACGAGCCACTAGCATGGATGAAGTGCTAAGTCCACGACCCGGTCCATCACCATTACACTCCACTTCATCTAACCCAGATGAAAATCGAGTCTGCCGATACTGCAAAACTATTGGGCACCGCCAAGTTCATTGCCCGGATTATTACTTCAGAGTGTGCAGAGAATTGAGCCTCAGACATCTTTCATTTTATTGTCCAAAGTATACTGGCACCGCCCCTACTACCCTTACTTGGAAGGACAAAGGGTTCTATTTAGAACTTGGTCTTTGGGAAAACACCAGAGACGAAGAATATATTATGCAATGCCAGGAGGAGGAGGCTCTTTACCATGTAGAGCAAATGAAGGGAGGTTTTGATGACCTTGACTATTCTGACGACCCCATGTATTACGCTAATCAGGATGATCAAAGTCAGTGACTTTATGCTTAGTAAGGGGGTAATGTTACAATGAGTGTCTATGTCCCTTTCCTATTCTTGTTATGCTTCCCTTTTGCCTACACTTGTTTACCTTTCTTGTATACTGTACTTATATCTCACGACTATCCTGGTCCGTGCACACATACTGACTTATTTAAGCACGTGTATTAGCTATGTAGAACTTCACTTGAATCTTACTAGGTTTTACCCAGAACTTCCTTCGCTTAAGATCCCCAATCTTAAGTCGACTGAACCCGTATTCTTAGTCGAGGCACTCCTTTGATTAAGTCTAAGAACTCCTTCTTTTCTGAAGGACTTTTACGAATCTCAACAGCCAGAAACTCTGTTGAGTCTCTGTTGTTAGAACTATCCTAGTTCGTAACAAGATCTGTTTCCTATCCAATATATGATAAGCTTCTTGATTTAATTCCTGTGCATATAATGTTAACACGGCCTATTCGGTATTCCTTGTTCCCGGTATCTCAGTTATACTTACTACCGGTATACTTAGTGATCCATTAACCTATGCTTCATTTCTGACTCACGTTTGTAAACTGTGCTTATGCTTTGTACATAGCCTCGGACCTTTGCTTATTGATCTTTCTGATAGTCACTTAGTATATAAACTCTTGTATATGTCTTGTAGTCCCTCAGTCTGAATATCATATTAGTCCTCGCACTAGTCTTCACTCTAAGTCCTCATATCAGTTCTAGTCCTTCAACTTAGTCAATATCCATCTCAGGCCTAGGGAGGAATTCCCTAGGCCAAAGTTCTGATCCTCTGATCATCCACTCATCCACTCATCTGATCCTCTGAAGTTTCCAGAAGTCTAACTGGATCTTTCCCATGGTCCTCCGGACCTATTCTGCTTCGGACTTTGTCCTTGCAGCCTTTCCTCTGTTTGCTTCTACTCAGGACAAGTCCCGAGTAGCCATTACACATATCTGTATCAGGATGAAACCTCATTGTAATTTCCAGAAGTTCCTCCGGAACTTTCTTACACTCATCCGGAAGTTACTTGCACCCATCTGGAAAGTCCTTCCGAAGTTTCCCGCACCTTCGGACGTCTTTGGACTTTCTTCAGACACCAATCTGAAATTAAGGGCACATACTCAGGTAAGGGGCGCAGCACACGAGCTGAAGCCAAGCCCCTCAGAATCAGTCCTACCCTTTGTGCATGGTCTTAATAGTCGTTGTTGGACGCATTATCACAAGTCATGCTCAGGATCTGTGCATGACACATTTAGCTGCAGGTATGTTTTTTTTTGGTTTAAAAATTACCTTTTCTGATATGTCAAATTCGTCTAGCATCTTTGCAAATGTGTCTGCAAGCTCTTCGCCAGTGTGGGACTGTTGTCTCATCAGTTGATAAGTACGTGCTCCCTTTATAAATTTTACCTTTGCAACTTCAATCACATCTAACAGAATACTCAGTGGCTCCCCTTTATACTTGAAGTGCACCAAAAGCGCGACCAGTGTGCGATGGTTGGGCAATGTCCAACCATCCATAGTGAAATTAATCTTGCCTTTGTATTCCTGGTACATTTTTAATACTTAATTGTTTTCTGATAAAAAAAACACTGACACGCAACATGCTAGCCACTCGTTTTCGAGTCCATGCAAAGACCAGTCGCACATTGCAAGAAACTGTGGATGGGGAAGGTATGTAGTATTCAGGTCTCCCTGTTTTTATCAGTGACTGAAAAGCACGGTCCTTGACTATATTGAATGGATGTAGGCTCTTGGCCACCCAACGAACAATTTCCGCCCTGAATGCATTGTTAGACTTGGACTCCCAGGACCATACTAGGGCCATACCTGGTTTCAGCGCGAGTGTGTTGACGGTGCAAGTACATTATTTTTCCTTTGCCTTTCTGTTCAAAGGATGCAATAATGGATCCATTTCGCAGAATACTTCCTACAATCTTGTGGCACACTTTGTTCACATCCTTCGCACTATCTGCAGCTTTCAAGACTTTGTCTCCCCAGCACAAGCGCACATGCTTCCACATGTTACCTGTGGATCGTGCATCGCCCTTTTTGAGGAACTGTCGTACTTTGACCTTGCAACCCCTTGCTTGGCACTTGAACTCATGCGCACCGCAGTCACCGATCTCAACAATGTGTGATGTGGGATCGAAAAATGCATAAACAGGTGAGTTCCATTCTTTCATTAGCTGCTCTGTATAATCAATTAATCTGATATTGATGTATGGGTTGCTGGACTCACTCAGCTCATCTTCAGGATCATCATCAGCATCATCAACCTCATCACCATTTGCGGGCTCATTATTGTCCAGGTCGATATATTCATGCAATGCCTCCTCCTCCTCCTCTGTGCACACAATGGTGCACCTACTCACGACTGGTGGTGGAGTCGGTGACGGTGATAATATCCTATCTTTGTCTGTGGATGTGTTATTGGCCAGAGTCATGCTCCCCGCTGGTACATTTATTTTGGCCTTTTTGGGTAGCAGTGGATTAATGTTATCTCCACCACCATCAGGTTTACACTTCTTTGAAGAAGCTTTATCTTCCAGTGCAGCTTTAGCTTTACCAGTCATCTTGATGACACATTTTTCTGGAGCTGCAAGGGCTTTGTTGAGTTGCATGGTGGGCAGTGGTTGGGCGATGAAAATTTGCAAGGCCGGAGCCATCACACCAGTAATGTATTATAGCACTATATCATTGATTGTTTAAAGTTTGACTGTTACAGTACACTACGTGAGCCCCCAGCTACTGCCCTGCCCTCTGCCACCTTGCACAGCAACGACACGATACCCGGGCCTTTAGGCCTTGATGACAGATGATAGAAGAAGAGAAGCCCGGAAGATGCCAGCTTAGATAAGCGGTCTGGACCGCATATGATGAAATAGGTCTAAAAGACCTATTTACAATATCAAGATAGAAGGCAAGCCTCATGTTGCCTCATGCACTGATAGAAGGATGCCTCATGCATGGTATCTCTGACTCGATAGATAAGCAGATTAGAACCCAGCTTCAAGCTGAGCTTAGATATGATAGAGTAACCTTATATAAAGGCGAAGATTAAAGTAGATGTTCCTTACTTTAATCTTACTGGGTTTTACCTTGAACTCCTTGTCCTGCTAAAGCTACTTGCTCAGCATTCGATCTGTACCGTCAGAAGGACCCTATCAGGACCCTTCTGTCTGTAACCACTATCATCATCCATAATCCCTTGCTATTCACCACGAGCTACACAAGTGTATGCAACTCCTGCTTGTCTGTGGGAGCCGACAGAACCTCAGCACTTGGTACCACTGTCGTGGTTGTCGCTGATTAGATTATCCCAGTCTACACATGACTCACTGTCATAACATTGACTGTTTGTAACTGTACAGTACTGCTGTTTGTAGCTAGTTTGATATGATATTATTTGTTGCAAGGCACTATGTTTTGATCAACGGCACTCTGTTTTGATCGAAACCCAGCGCAAGGGTACGGGTACGGGTAATGCAATATCAAACCCATACCCATACCCCGCACCCGCACGGGTATACCCATACCCGTGCAGTTCCCTATCAACATCTTACCCACACTACAGGCTTCCTCCATGCCATGCAAGCAAGCCTTCTCATCAAGCGGGGAAACATGCACCCTTTGGCATAGCCAAATCCTCCCAGATCTTCTCAGCAAGTTACAGGTGCTCAAACACATTCACAAAGGAGAACAGCTGGATTTCACAGCAGACATCAGCAAAACCCTCCTGGGCTAAATATACATGATTATCAAAAATTATTTGCTAATTTCTCAAAAAAATGTCTGGTTAGAAGGATCACATGGATTATGTTACCCCAAATAACTTTGACAGAATTGGTTACAATCATTAGTTATTTGACAAATTTGTCGTGCATTTGAGAGACCATCCATTCAAACTTAGAAGAGCATCATTCACAAATCTAAACATCATCAGACAATATTACATGAAAGAATTAGTTTTTTTATTTAGAAAATGGTATGTAAAGTAGCAACACAGCTAGTAATGACTGACATGGACACTTGTAGAATATAGACACAAAAGTAATTACTGTATAGCTACAATTGACCGCAAATACCTAATCCCTGGCTTAGATGAAGCAAAGCCGTACCTGTTGCAGCAAGAACGAGTGCGGACAAGCACATACAGGTGTGAATGTGTGGATGAGTGTAAGCTAATGAAGCTACATTAGTAAAACATGTGAGTGGATTTATAGAAAGGATGTATGGTGACCCCTGGAAGGAGGATCAACATGCTGTGAATGGTGGACAACAACAATGATCAGCATGGCTCAAGCTCAAAGGAGAATCAACACACTCACCCGCTGCGAATGGCAGACAATGAGTTGGATCAGTATGGCGGTTGGGCAGTTGCTTGAATGACGATTGATGCACTCACTACCTGTGAACAGCAGACAACAACTTGGATCAGTGTGACTCTGGCTGGAACAAGGATTGACACACTCACTTCAAACAGATCCAAGCAAAGTTGATACGAACTTGATACCTATTTTGTAGTTGTAAATGTTAGATAGAACTTTTTAAAAAACCTAAGACATACCTATCAGCTTGATGATTGAGGCTGACAATGTTAAACGTTGAGGAATGAGGGATCAATGTTGGAAGTTCAAAAAGTTTTCAAACCAAAGTCATGCGAGCCAAACAAATACATGCAAATGGTTCAATATCAACAAACAGTCACATGAGCGAAACAAATATGTGCAAATGAACTTCAACAAAATTTTACTCAGTTGTTCACCGCTTGTTCTAGTCAGTAGTAGGTGCGCATGTTTTTTTCTCTCGTTTACTACTATCTTTAACCTTGCAGCGTGCTACTACGACCACCACTTGCACCCTACACTACATCCTACCCTCTATCTCGTGCTTCCTGTCTCGGCCCTCTTTCCACTCTTCTGGCGCTCTCCAGTGTCCTCCGCACATGTTCAAGCCATGTCAGCATTCGCTGATGTGCACTGGGCATGTGCACTGGTGGCTGCTGGGGTTGGGTGGGGCATCCCACTGTTCTGAATGACTGTAACAATTTTTGATTGAACTTGTATTTAGATAGACACACTTCTTGTATATTCAAGTAATTCTTGACATTCTGTGATACAGTTGACATTCTCATAATGCATAATGTTGGTCCCCCACCTAGCTTATGCATTATGAGACCTTATGCAGTGACATATGGGTCACACTTTGTAACATATTTTCCCACCAAGCAGTGATTTTGTCAAATCATTTTCGAAATGTTCTACTATGACATTAATACATCTATTTAATCGACGAAGCAACCCATTGATCAAGAGTGGTCTGAACATGAGATCTAACATCAAGATGACGGAGATGTGCCCGCAGTTTTTGCAGTTGTTTCTGCATCTCGAGCAGTGATACACCATCAGCATCAGAATAATCAACACAGACCTTTTCCATGTGTTCGCACAAATCCAGGGCCTCCTTTGGTGGTATTGGCTCCCATAAGTCATCAACTTCATCCTCAAGATCCTCTTCAGTATTATCCATCATTTGCCAAGTTGCTTCTGCAATAATCTCGTCGTCTCCACCAGGGAACTCGAGGCCAGTATGGCCAATCACATCTTCTTTGATCGGGTTCAACAAATCCTCCAAAGTAGGTGCAGTACCACAGATTCGTTTACGATGCTGCAGATCTTCAATAGTGTTCATAAGTTCAGTCTCAAGCTGAGACAACTGTGGCAAAGATGGTTGTAAGGGATGAGTTGGAGGTTTGGGGAGACCTTCTTGATGATGTGGGGCAGCTGCTGCGGGGTAGAGTGATTTGGAGGCAAGGTGATCAATGGCAGTTGCAGCAGCCATTTCATCATCCTCGGCCGCGAATATTGCATCAAAGGCAGGTTTCCAATCATTATAGTGATATTTTAAACCTAGACGTGCTGCCAGCTGCTCCTGCGCATTCAGAAGGGTTTCAATAATACCAGTCGCAAAATTCTTTACGATTTGCCATGCCTCAGGATCCGCAAGAGGGGACTGAGTGTTGGGAGTGGAGCAAATCAGATTTGATGAAGCAGGAGTGTCTGGGATAGCCCTATGAAGACCAACGAGTCGTTGTTTCGATATCAGACTTCGTACTAGATAGTAGATATGCACTCTGTGATTTTTGTATGCTTCCAGCAATTCCTAATTGTCTCTGGAGTGACAGCGTCCCAAGCATCCCTTACCATCAACATGACTTCGAGGAGATTTATCTTATAGATGTCATCCTCTCCTGCATCATCTAACTCCACTGCACGCAAACAGAAAGCTTTCCGGTAATGAGCTTTCACACAACGAATGATACCAGCATCCAAGGGTTGCATGTATGGTGTGAGATTTGGTTCAAAATAGATGAGTTCGATATTCGTTGGCTTGTATGAAATTTCATGACCAGAAAATTTGTCAATTGTCAATGCTGTTACGAACTAGGATAGTTCTTAACAACAAAGGCTCGATAGAGCGTTCACGTTGTTGAGATCTGTATAGCTCTTCAGATAAGAAGAGGTTTGTAGACTTAGTCAAAGGAGTGCTTCGACTAAGAGATCGATTCAGATGTCTTAAGATTGGTGGTCTTAAGCGAAGGAAGTTTCAGGGTAAAACCTAGTAAGATTGAAGTGACGTTCCTAAGTAAAGTACACATGCTTAAATAGGAAACTATATGCGCACGGACCAGGGCTACGGTGAGATGATAGTACAAGAGCCGAATACGGAAGTAAGACCAAGAAAGGAAAGTTAAGTCGCTAAGGAAAATGTAGGGCATAATGGCAGATACGCGAGAAGTAAAGGAAGTAGAGTGATTGTAACATTACCCCCTCACTAGGGTTGAAGCCACCGGATTCAATCATCCTGGTTAGCGTAGTAAATGGGATCATCCGAGTAATCTAGGGCATCTGGACCTTCGTCTGGTCCGGCTTTCATGCGTTCTAACTCGTAGAGCGCTTCTTCTTCCTTGCATTGGGCGGCATATGTGTCATCCAAATCATTCTCCCAGAGTGCGAGTACTCAGTAGAATCTGTCGTCCTTCCAGGTTAAGGAGGTGGGGGATTCCCCAGTGTAGTGCGGGCAGTAGAGCGAAAGATGGCCTGGAGATAATTCTCGACAGACACGGCAGTAGTATTCGGGACAATGAACTTGCCTATGCCCGAGCGTTTTGCAGTATCTGCAAACACGATTCTCATCGGGGTTAGAGGAGGTCGCTCGTAAGGGCGATGGACCCGGTTTCGGGCTAAGTGCTTCATCTGCGCTGGTAGCGCGTTTCTTCCCTTTATCAGTATGGGAACGCTGGCCTCGTACTCTCTTTCTAGATGGGGCGGTTCGTCGTATAGGATGGTGGACGGCGACATCTTGTCGCTCTGCCTCCGTGATTAGCTCAGCGGGAGTGGCAGGTTGGGTTCTTCCCAACGCTTGTATCGGTACGATCCCATCTGTAAAGGTATGCGAAGATAATGAGTCCGGGATGACGAGCGGGGGATGAATATGGAGTGTAGCCAGTGCGTCGGCTAGATCTTGCACCTCGTAGTGCGAAAGGCACTGATGGTTTGGGTCAGCAGCGATTTCTTCGTGGGTGGCGGAAAATGCAGTATAAAGATGGGGAGGGTGTTCGATGGTTTCTACGGCGGGAGCGGGGACGGGAATTGCTTGGGGATTTTCTTCTCTTAGGGACGCCATTATGGCTTCCGTTGTCTGCGCAAGATTATTGACCGCAGCCAATAGCTCATTAGGAATGTTAGCGGGAAGAGTAGGTACGGCGTCTTGATAAGAGGGAGGAGGGACTCCATCTGTGGTTGCGGGGTTCGTAGGAGAAGGCGGGCGAGCAACTCCTGCGGTTTGCTCTGCGACGATGTGGATGACTGTTCTAATATCATCTTTAACTTCCTCAGGAATAAGACGCAAAGCAAAGTTGCGTATGCGCCTCTGCATATGCATGAGGCTGTGGCGAACTGTGTTGTCTTCGACGAGGCGGCAGACTCGCTCGATGATTTCAGTGGCTCGGACGATGTTGATAAGGATGTTAATGGAGTGGGCGTTTCTTCCGAAGAGAACTCTAGTGAGCTCAATAGCATGTTGGGGGCAGAGGAGTGCTGCCTCGATGAGGGTGAGGTCTTCAGCTTGGGTGATGAAGGTTTCGTATCAGTTCGTCGTTGGAGTCGAGGGCGGTAGTTTCGAAGGTAGAGTGGTAGGGGAGTGTGTAGGTAGATGTGGGGAATGGCATATCGGTTGCAGGTCTTGTATCTGGGTGAAAACGATGTCGTCGAGGTATTGGGTGATTTCAAATTGCGCTTCTGACTTTATAGGCTCTAAGGGTCTCTTCGGCATTTTCCAGATTCTTTTCGGGGATCCACTCGTTGCTAGCCGAAGAATACCCTTTCCACGATACGAGATATCGACGGCGATTTCCATTTCCTTTATGTGCGAGGATTGCTTCTATTTCATATTCTTCTTCTTCTTCGAGAACATCAGGTGGTGGTTCTAGAAAGTTCGGACCGTGTACGTTATTTTCGCGATAGGAGGATAGCTGCGAAGCGTGGAATGTAGGGTGGATCCTCCATTGCGGCGGTAATTGGAGCGTAAACGTAATAGGGGATAGCACGGCCGTGATAGTGAACGGGCCGTATCTTTTGGGTGCCAGTTTCCGGGATGGGAGTTTTAGTCTTAAATTGGCAGCTGACAACCATACCTTATCTCCGACTTTCCATGGTTCGTACTTCTGTCCGAAGGATCTTTCCGCCATGCGTTGCATAGCAATGTTATGACAGGAGACGGCTTCTTCTCTTATCTTTTGAAGAATTCTGACTCGTTCCTCAACAGCGGGAACGTCTGATTCCGGAAGTAAGTGTGGGAGAGCTTTCGGCTCGTACCCCATCATGATAAAGAAAGGGGATGCATCCTTTGCGGAGTGTCTTCTGTGATTGTGAACAAATTCTGCCATAGGGAGATGTTCCACCCATTCAGAAGGATTGTTCTGGCAATACATTCGAAGATACGTTTCGAGCTCCTGGTTTAATCGTTTGGTCTGTCCGTCGGTTTGTGGGTGGTAGGCAGTGGAGGGGGCTAAAGAATAATCTAGGAGTCGTGCAAGTTCGATCGAGAATCTGGATAGGAACTGTGGTCCACGATCGGAGATTACTTTGTCATGGAGACCAAATCTTTTGAAAACGTGTTTTAAAAATAGCTTCGCCACTCCTTCCGAGGTAATTGTTTTATGGCAAGGGGTAATGATCACCCCCTTACTAAGCCCGTGGTCTACCACGACCATGACACTATCAAAGCCAGAAGAAACGGGCAGATCAGTAATGAGATCGACGGAGATCTGGGAAAAGGGGCGAGTAGCCATAGTGCTGATAGGGTGTAGGGGTGGGGTTACAGGGTGAGTGTCCACCTTCATCTGTTGGCAAGTAGCGCAGCCATCGACGTAATGGCGGATGTAGGTGCCCATACTGGGCCACCAAGCTTCCCGCTTGACGAGTTCTTCGGTTTTAAAACGTCCGGGATGCCCAGCAGAAGGGTGATCATGATGCTTCCGTAGCAACTGCGGACAATGCGCGGGAGGAATATAAGCTCTATTTTTGTAAAACAGAATATCATCGGCAATACGCCAGTTGCTAAGTGATGATTTCATAGGAGGCAAACATAGGCCATTAAGGGCATCTTGCGCGGCAGAGAAGAGGGGGTCGTCAAGGGGTGCGGCGGAAGCAATAGCTGCTTGTAATTCATCGTCGATTAGGCGGATAAACATGGAATCAGGAAGGAGGACGGCGTCGGCATTATCTCCCGATCCGTCGCCGTGGTCTGGCCGGCGAGAAAGGGCATCCGGAACTGCTAATTTTGTACCGGGGACGTGATATAACTTTAAGTCGAAAGAAGTGAGGAGTAGTTGCCATCTGGCCTGCCTTCTGGATAGGCGTTCTGCTTTTGCGAAATAGAGGAGGTTCATATGATCAGTAAACACAATGACCGGTTGTGGATGTCCTTCGAGGTAGTGTCGCCAATGGGTGAGGGCGCGGATAATAGCTAACAGCTCGCGATCATGAATGGGGTAATTCCTCTCAGCAGGGCTGAATGACTGCGATAGGTATGCACACGGGTGATAAACGCCATTGGTGTCAGTTTGCAGCAATACCCCTCCTGACGCGACAAGAGAAGCATCCGTAGCGATGGCGAATTGATGGTGGGGGTCGGGGTTCTGAAGAACAGGGTGCGAAGTGAAGCATTCTTTGAGCTTCTCGAACGTTTGCTGGCACAGGGGCGTCCAAGAGAACGATACATTCTTCTTTGTTAGGTCGATAAGGGGTCGAGCAATATCCGAGTAGTGGGAAACGAAGGTTCGGTAGAAGTTACAAAAACCCAAAAAGGATCGAACATCTTTAACTGTTTCAGGGATGGGCCAGTCCTTGATGCCTGCCGTCTTCCCTTTATCCATTTCTACACTTCCTGGTTTGATAATCATTCCAAGGTATTCCACTTCCTCCGCGTCGAACGTGCATTTCTCCGGTTTGACAAATAACTTTTCTTTTCGAAGTTTGTCTAGAATAATGCAGGTTCGTTGTTGGTGTTCGGTGGTTGTTTCGGAGAAGATGAGCATATCGTCCATGTAAATGACGAGCCATCCTTCGTTGAGTTCAGCTCTGAACGTATCGTTCATATACGCTTGGAAAGTGGCTGGGGAATTGCAT